AAAATAGAGAAGATGCCTGAGTCTGCAGAACACTGGGAGGAGAGAACTGGCATTTCTAAATGTGCTGCCCCCAAGGGAGTGGGTCGGTTGTTTAGAAAAGAGCAATGCAAGATCATGCTGATGTAAGGAGCTCTAAGTTATGATAATGCAGGTTGCAGCTTGACAGGCTTGATAAGAAGCCAAGACAGTACGTTTCTGCTGTCCCTACCAGGCAGAGCAGGACCATGGGACATATCCAGCCCCAGAACAGTGACTGAGAACAGGGTCACCAGCGCCACTAGATGTTTCGACATAGGCAATGAGGCTACCACTTCCCCCCTCTGCCACTCCAGATGTCACAGTGTGTTATAGAAAGGTATGTGTCCTTGCTGTCCAAAGAGCTGACACTCACCTTCCTGGGCAATTTCCAGCATCTTGCATTCTTGTCTGTGATGACAAGGTTGTGTAACCATCTGATTGGCTGCTGTGCTGCAGTATCATTTCCAGAAGTCAGTAATAATATTTCTGCAGAATCTTTCACATTTTATGCTGAAATCTCCAAATGACCCAATAAGATGACCTTTTTTTGTTTTCAGGAAGTATTCTGTTCACATTCTTCTATTTGAACAACTCTGAGGAACTCGCTTTCCACTCAGCGCATGACTTTTTCACAACTTTCTGTAACTAAATGCTGTTGTGTGCAAGTCATTACTTTTGATCTTAATATACTGCTGGTTAATTATCTTTTTGAAAAGGACGTGTAGCATAAATGCAGATTGCTGTGCACAACACTGAAGGGTTGTTGTAATACCTGGACAAGCCATATTCTGCAGCGATTAAAACTTCTGTGATTAATGAGAGAGAAATGTGATAAAATTTAATTTAGTAATGCAGTTATACACCATAACTTGTAATAAAAAGAATCTTTTCTGCACAGCCATAGTATCTTAAGGGAATACCAGTAAACAAAATCAGAGAGAAATGTATTCTTAGGATCCCCACTCTCCTAAGCCTTCACAACTGAGGACTCTTGTAAGACTGAAAAATTACCAGGAACACAACAGTATGGTAAGTATTTACGTTGACTTCAAAACAAGAGGTTGTCAAATTCTTTTCCTTAAAACATGTAATAAACTCTAAAAAAACCCCACCACAAATAAAGCTCCTCCAAAGAAGAGAGGAGAATTTTCTTCAATATTCGTGCACAATTTTTTTCAAGGTAATATCGATTAGGGAAAAAAAAATGCCGAAAGAGTTACATAGCAGATTTTTTTTAACAAATCCTGCAGTTGGTTATGATGAAATTGATGGTTTAGAGGACTTTTCTTTCGTGAAAAGTTTTGAAAAGTTTGGCAAAAGTACAGAAAATACTTTTCTTTGTGTCGAAATTTGTAACAAAGGAATAAACCTCCATGTTCATCTTTGGCAATTTTCAAAATGATACCAGTGGAACAGACAAAATGTTTAATCCTGGAAGGCTGATGCAGTTGTGCTTTGGAGCTGACCTGGCTTCCTATTGTTCTCTGCCTTTAACTTGGGCAGAACTGAGCCCTGACACAGACAACTACTTTCGGTCATAATACTGAAAACAAATGACTTCCCTCTACAGCGTGCGGGGGACACTCCGCATCTCAGGCTGCACCCCCCCCAAATGAAGCCGCGCGTTTGCCACTTCAGCAGGCGGGCTGTAGGAATCAATGGCAGATCAATCCCTTGTCACTGCCCGCGCAGTCCCGGCCCCGCCGCCGCACAAAAGCGGGAAGGTGGGAGCCCCTCATCCCAGAGCGTGGGGACCGGCGGCGGCGGCAGGAGCTGCTTCGCGGTGCCGCAGCCCCGGGAGGGGCGAGGCCACCCCCAGCCCGGTCCGCCCCGGCACCATCGCCCCTCCGGACGGGCTGCCCCTCTCCCGAGCCTTTCCCCGAGCCCTGGGAAGGCGGAGAACTGCCCGGGGGTGCCTGGTAGGTGGCTACGGGAGAGAGCGGCGCCGCCAGGTCCCCACGCGTGCTCGGGGAACGGGATGCGGGTGGGTGCGGGACTCCCCAGGCAGGGACCCACTGAGCAGGACCTCCCAGGGCGCGGAAGGGGCACTCTTCGGGCGCCGTGTGAGACGCCGCGGATGCGGTGCGGGACTGACAGGCAAAGTGCAGGGACTCGTCGGGAGAACAGAAGGGAACCTTGGGGGCAGGATCCCCCGCAGCCATAGAATAGGATCCCTCGGGCGCGGAGCGGGACTTCTGGGGAGCACTGACCGCCCGGGCATGAGCAGTACGGGACCCGCGGGAGCGGAGCCAAGGCTCCTGGAGGCAAAGGCGACACCTCTCAGGCACACTGTGGGACCCGCTGGAGGCAAGGCGACACTTCTCACGGACGGTGCGGAACCACTGGGTGCGGAGCAGGTCTCCCCGAGGGCGCTGCGGGACCCCCGGGGGCGGAGGCAGCGCAAACCCTCCGCGACCGTGCCGGGACGGGACCGCGGCGTGGGGTAGGGGGATGCCCGGGGGCGGGGTGGGGACTCGCCTGAGCCCGCCCGCCGCTGCCTGCGTTCCCCTCCCACCTCTGGCGGCCCCGCGGAGCCGGGCGGAGCGCGGCCGGGAGCGGCTCCAGGTAGGCAGCGCCCGCCCTCCCGCCCGCTGGGGCGGCCCCGGCGTGGCCCCGGGGTAGCGTCTTCGCGGCTCAGTGGGGAGAGCCTGGCGAGCCCGGCCCGGTGTGTTCTCCGTGTTTTTGCGGGGTAAACAGTCGGGGGAGGAGGAGGAGGAGGAGGAAGAGGAGGAGGAGGGGTGCAGGGGTTGCCGCCTGGTGCAGAGGGAGCCTTGGTGCGGGGCTTCGCTGCTCTGCTGGAGTCTTGCCCTGAACTCTCCGGCTCGGGACATGCAGCCCCTCTCCGGCCCCCCGAGGGCGGCGGCGGGGGCGGGGGCACCGCTCCGGCCCTCGGAGGGACCGTGTCCTGCCGACTTCTCCTCGGGTGCTTTGTTGGCGGCCAGTGCGGGAGCGGATCGATAGCGATGCCTCTGAGCCCTTTCGCATTGCAGAGCTCTACCTTGTCTTTTAGAAACTCGTTTAGATTAAAAAGTAAACTAGCTTTAAGCAGCCGCGAACGACTACAGTAGCCTCTCTGGGTAAAGAAATGTGGGAGAAGTTTGTTCTCTCTGCGTGTCCGATCTAAAGTAGACTTAATAAGTTGGGGATGGTTAACCTGAGTTTAGATCCAGGTGGATTTTGAAGGAGCTTTCTCTTTTTATAGAAAGACTTTTCTTATGTGCATCTGTAGGACAGTGAATTTCCTCACTGCTCATTTTCTGGATTTTCTTGCCTGCGAGGTAGTCCTATGTCAATACTTTATTTTTTTTTCATTTGCCTAATGCAAAGCACAACTGGTGATTATTCTGGGAGCTGAACTCAATGTTTGCTGGGGAAGGTAGACCTCAAGATCTGAGCAGCAGCAGTGTATTGATTCCATTAACAGAATTTACAGATTCCTTTTAACATAGTCTCTTTCCCAGAATTAAAGTTCTCCTCAGAGCATCTGTCGCTGGTCTAGGCCAATAGATGGCATAAGGCACTCAGGCTAACGTCCTAAGGGGACAGGGGGAGCAAGAATACACTTTGTACCGAAGCCAGGGTTTTCAGAGGGGATATGTGAGTTAGATTCTGTGTGTCTGACTTGGGATACCTAGGTGAGATCTCATTTTCAGAGATATGTCCTGGACCACTCATTTTCTTTGGTCACAGTTGCAGCATTTTTCATAATCCTTCTCTGCTCTAATCAGTTAGGGTTATGTCACGCAGTTTTTGTAGGATTTGTTCAGTGTTGATATCCTAAGCCAGGAAGCAGAGGTGGCTTTTCAACTTTGCAAGGTGTATTTAATATTCGCTGCTGGGGAGAAGCTGCCCATTGTAGCAGTATTGAAACCAGTAATCATGAGGGGGAATAAAAGGCAATTGGCTAATAAGGAAAAACCTTCTTAGTTTCTGTATCAAAATTTCTGCTGAGATAGCACTGTGGGTAGACAAAAATGATTTTGTGTTCTGAAATTTTGTAAATTATTTGAGTACAGGTAGGTAGCTAAATGATGATAAAAGAGCTTTAACTGACAGTAATCATACATAGCTTTTATATGGGTGCTTCTTAGGTATCGACTTCAAAACAGTTCTTTTTAAAAAGTATCATTATATCTTTTTTTTTTTTTTCAATTTCAGCAATTGAAGAGTGGGAAAGGTCCAGAAATAATACCAGATTTCTTAAGTCACAGTTCTTAATTTGTCTGTTAAATCTCTTTATACAGTCTGGACAGATTTGTTTAAGTGGATCTTAAATTAAAAAAAAAATCTATATGTATATATAGCAAAGGACATTAAAGGTCTTTTTCCTTCTTTTTTATTCTCTTTCCTTCTTTCTTATCTATAAATGTCTATGTCTTGTTATCAGCCTCAGCACTAAGGCAACCCACAGAAAGTATAGCAGCCCTTCAACTTCCTATTTGTGAGCGTGGGCAAAAGAAAATCAATGAACAGTGGCTTTCAGCTGAGCTGATGCAAACTCCAGTGTGATCCCCAAGCATTATTCCTGGGACAGGTGGGGTTGAATATTTTACTACAGTTTCCTTTGTAGAAACAGAGATGTCCCTTAGGAGAGGCAATTCTTTGCTCACCCTCTCTAGGACTTCGCAAATTTCCAGGAGCAAGAAGAATAAAACTACCTTACACCTGAAAAGATGATAACTCGGTATTAAGCCACCAGCATCACCTTCATTGTGCAATTACAGCTGCAGGCAGGGTGCAGTCAACTATTAATACTCAGTGCCAAGACCATTCAGCCTCAATGCAAAACAGTGTTCAACAGTGACTGAGCTGAGCTGCAGAGGCATCTTAAACCCGTTTGGAGAGTGGAGACAGCCGGGCTTTCCCCGCTCGGCATTGGTGCGTCTGCCAGCGGTGTGCTCTTCGTTCTGGCCGAGCCCCTAATGGAGCTGGTGCTGGACACAGTGCCTGCCTCTGTGCTGGAGTCACTGCCAGGGGCCACTGCCACAGCTCCTGTGGCTGCCTGCTGTTTGGATCCCTTTCCCTGCCAGCTGGGCAAGCTGAACCCACATACTCTCAGGTGAAATAAGTGCTGGTTAACAAGGAGGGCATGTGAATGGCAGATGCTCTGCAGAGTCTGATGTGAGTTGGGGTCAGAGGGAGAAGCAGATAGTATCCTGTTTGGCAATACCCTTACTAGCAGGCTAAGCTTCAGCTTGGTTACTTGAAAACAGCTTATGGCCATGCTTTCTGTCTTTTCTCCTGGAATCCTTCTCCATCTGAGCCCATTTGTTTGCAGTATGTCTCCTGTCCAAAGGCTCTTGATTTAGAGAACTTGTTTACTTGCTACTGGAGCACATATATTAAAAAGATCTGCCCAAGGCTAATGACTAGAAACAAGGCTCAAGTCTCTAAACTCGCATCATTCTATGCCTTGCAAATTTTCTGTTGTGGGATATCTGCCAAGGACGCATAATAGAACTCATGAATAAATAAAATGTATTCCACTAATATGTGGATATTTTCTTTTCATCTTGCCTTTGCCCCATCTCTTTGTTTTTATTTCTTGCTCCTCATCTATTTTTTTTCTGTTTAGTCTCCTTCTCCTTTTAATTTATGGGGTCATCTTATTTTCTTCCTGTGTTACTGCTTTACTTTCTAAGGGGGAAAACACCCCGAGAAAACCAAGCAGGATGCTGTCATTGCCATTGTCTGATTCTGTGTGGAGAACCAAATCCTCAGCTGACAGAAACTGTCCTTGACCTGTTCCAGTCAATGATTCTACACCAGTTAATGCCAGGGAATGCTTCGAAGTGTTACCTTGGTATGCTGCTCCGTTCTTTACCATTTATTCTTTTTTATTCCCCATTTCCTTCTGGCCCTTTTCATTTTCCTATATTTTACTGATGCTTCTTTCCTTTATACTGTATTTTCCACTTTATTTGAATATGTTCTGCTCTATCTTGTCTCATTCATAATGTATCTGAAGTCCTAACAGCATTGTGTTAAACTGCTGTCATCTACCATTTGTGGATAACTTACTTATTTTTCTTAGAGGGGAGTTCTCTATGTGGCAGTTGCTTGTAATAGTTTTCTTTTGTTTTGTTTTTCTTTCTGTTCTAGAAGAGGTGACTTTTGGAATATTTATCTTGCTTGCAAAGGAAGATGGTGTTTCTGAGGGAGCTTATTCCACAGTCATTTTCTAGAGAAATATGTCTTCTGGAAAGATGAGCTTTATCACTTATGTTAGAAGGTCCCATTGTGGTCACTGTTTTTGTTCTGGAGCTTAGTTTGCTCTGGATTTTGGGCCATTTTGCTGCATTACAGGTAAAGCCTGAGACCTTGATTTTCATGCTGTGTTCTGCAAGGAGCTAGAGTAAGTCTGGGGTAAACATGGTCTCTGTGGTTGATAATGTTGATATGAAGGCTCTTGGAAGGCTTCACTTGTTTTTGCCTCTCTAAATTGTTTCTCTCACTGCTGTCAGTCTGCTGGGTACTCCCGATGTCCTTGGTATTAGCATGATTTTCTGTTCTCCATCCTTTTATCCACAAACTCTCCAGCTCATCTTGTCCTTCACACTAAAATGTCTTACCCATTTTGCCTTCCCATCCCTGTCAGGTGAGTGGGGACTGAGGTGAGAGGCCTCGGTTTACTGTCTCTTATGGCTGCCGAGTAGTTTCTGGGAGGGGATGGAAGGGGAGGCCATTACAGCTTAGCCCTTTGGACTCCCTTCTGTTCAGAGCAGCCATGTGCCCTGGCTGCAGACATCTGCCTGACTTCAGCTTGCTCAGTGTCTGCTGCCATCTCCTCCAGGTAGGTTTATGTCTTAAAAGTTTATCTTGGGCAGGGGGAGCTGCAGGACTGTGATCCAGCAGAATCAATCCACATGTGGTGGCAGACAGGCAGTGTGGCACCATCCTTACCTCTGCCAGCAGCAGCAAGAGGTGCAGTTGTCCCCTCTCACCCTGCAAAGGGTTGTGCTGGCAAGGTGTGAGTGCCCTGAAGGTGCCCCTATACTGCTGGAGCTGCATGTGCTCTGAACAGAATTGTCTAGGGGTAAGGGCTATTAAATTAACTTTTCTTTTTTTTTTTTTTCCCCTTTTTTGGAAATGTTTTGTTCTTACCAGCCTGCCAGTAACAACCACCAAAGGCCACATGGACTTAAACCAACCAGTGTGGCTGGTTTAAGGAAGATAGTTTATTTATGATCTGAGACAGAATTTTACTTCCCCTTTTTTCTTCCTCTTCTGTATATTTTTGTCCTTTGTTCATCAACTTGGACAAGCAATTTGGATGCCAACTGATATCTTAAAAACTGGTTAATTCTTCCATGTGTTTAATCATTCTAGCC